TCTGTGATTAGGAACAAGAATAGGGTAAAAGAGATGAGGATGAAGCCCAAATATTCTTTATAAGACAAGAAGGTTATTACTTTGAGGATACATTGAACTTGATTTTCATTTGGATATTGATCATCTGAACACTTGGTGCATTTTTCTTTATCTGAGAAAATAAAAATGCAATACTTCATTAAAATTCTGTCCTTTACATTTCAAGGAATAACTTCTAGGGACATCAGCTGATATCAGCAGCATTTTCCTAAATGTTTCTTAATATCTCCTGAGAAAGAAGATAGGAAGAACATCATTTTCTAAACCATATAGAGCTATGGTCTATGAAATTGGGGAAAATCTTAGGATTAATATGCTTTCCTGTGTAATCTGTAAGATTTTCATTGTAACCCACATTAATAAAGATAAATAAACCATTATAAATAATCAGTTCATCTTACAAGGCACACTTTTGGGGTCCTTCTGGATCCCTTCTGGGGTCCATGCTCTGAACCTCACTGGACTCAGATGATATATCATTGGTATTTAACACCCGGTAGGTTATCTAAGATGTATAAACTTATGTCAAATGAACGTTGGAAATGTAAAAGCAAAGAACGGACTTTTTATCCTCTATGGACATGTGATAAAGCAAAAAGAAAATTGGAGTATGATTCATATTTTAGTAAAGAGAATTTTGACAATGAAGATAAAGATAAAACCAGAAATTTTCCTTTTGGGCCTAATGGAAAAAGACTTGGAGAAAAAAATTGCAACTTAATTACTATATATAGTGTTTATAAAAACGGAAGGACACTGATTCCTACCATGGATGAATAGTTGCAGAAGCTGATGGAATTGGCTGAAATGGCAAAATGGATTATTTTGATTAAAGAAAAGAATAGAAATATTTTTGTTTCCACATGGAGACAGCTTCTGAAGTGGAAAAGAATGAAATTTTGATTTTGGTTTTTACCAATTAGACTAATATATCTTTATAGAAATGGCTAGTTTATATTTTTATTAAAAAAACAAAAAGTTGTGATTTGATATCAAATATCAATGCCTTATTTTGCTGCAACAGAGTCAGAAGTCAATGTTTCTTCCTCTTTCTCTTAATCCTTCCTTACTTTTCTTTCCCCTTCCTCCCCATTGTTTTCCTATTTTCTTTTGCATTTTGTATCTTATTTTACCTTATAACTGAAAAAAAGTCACATGGTAAGTTCAACCCAACTAGGACAAGGTGAATCTAATCCCAAAGGTTATTTCCCACTGGAACCAAAAGGATCTCCATCCGGCCTTCATTTAATTTAATCAAATTCAGTGCAAACCTGAACTCAGGCACTGGTCAACAAATTTGCCTTCTTCTCGGCTATTGGAAGACCAGGAAGACGCAAACCATAATCCCCAGCACTTGAGGGTCTCTCTTACCATTTTCATGCAGCTTCTCCTTTTCAACACTGAGCCATGGTACATGAAATAGGTCAAAACCCTTTTGAAATTGCAGAAAATTCCTCAATATTTCTCCTACCCTGTTGTGCAACTTTAGCCATGACAGGTGATCTTGGTTGATAATAAGTCTCTGTCTTTCAAAAGTCACCAGTTTGTTTTTTCTGAGATTGTTTTTGGAGAGAAATACCCAGCTCATGATATGCATGTCTCCCTTTAAATCTCCATTTTGGTCCAAGTACAGTTTGTAGTCAGAAAGATTGCAAAATTCATTCTTCACCAGAAAGGGATGGAACTAGAATGGGAACATCAAGGAATTTCAAAAGCAATAAACATGATAACATACTCCTTTTTGTCTGTTCTCATTTGAATCTTTCTTCTATAGTAATCTTGTAAATATTCTTAGGAAAATACGTTTTACTGCTGTCTTTAAAAATGAAAAAGAATGATTCAACAACATTTGTCAATCAGGTATTGACAATATCGGTTCTAAAAACTATAATTAACAAAATGTGAATCATAGGAAACGTTCAAAAGTAGGTCACAAATAACTTGCACAAACAGAGAATATTCTTATACTATATATAATATATATATAATATTATATATATTCATATATAATTTGCTTCATGTTTCATGTCCAGACTAATCTNACAAGCCTCTTTGTACTCCTTTTGTATCTTTTTTGTATTCCAGGTTTAAAAGAAGTAAAATTCTTAAATGAGACAAAATAGAAAAAAGGAAAAAACTCGTATAGAGATGACAAAAGGAATTTTAATCCATAGGTTACAAAAATAAAAAGTAGAAGAAAAACTAATCCATTCACTTTAAAAAGCTTTATGCAAATTCCACCCCTAAAATAGCATTTAAAAAGAAAGATAACACACTGTCCAATGCAGTCCAATGTAGCTTAATTTTGCCGCTTATTTCTTCTGTTCACAAATTTAATTTAGCTTTAAGGGTTTTTTAGGCATTTCTTTTAAAACAGTAAAATTTCCTCACCAGCTGTACACACTTTTTCTTTCTGTTCCCTTCCATTCTGGAGCTGTCCCAACTTCATCAGCTTGTGGCTGCACTTTTGTCGCCAGCTAGAAGAACTTCTCTTGGATCAATCAGGGACTTTGCGAGGTCTCTGAGATCAGCAAGACGTATTCTTCCCGATCACCATCTTTGCGGGACAGTTTTGGTCCATATGGACCGTCCAGTGGCAAAAGTATCGACTGCGATCTCTGGACTTCGAGATCGCAGGTCGTGTTGTCATGACATCAACTCCTCCTCCTCTTTGGAAGTTTCTTGATTGGGATATTGCTTACTTGATTATTGGTCTGATGTTAATCTTGGAGTAAATCGATGCCAATCTTGGTACCTTTGGAGAAGTGCTTGGGTCTTTTTGTTTCCTTTTTGGCTAGTTGATTGACCCTTTTGCACAGTCTATAGATGTTATGTTAATGTCTATGTGTCTATTGATGGCTAAATTGTCAGAGTGCCAGAGTGCCATTAGAGACTTGGTTATCATGTTCTGTCCTGGCTTTTTTTCCCCATCCAGGCTTAGAGAATATCGATTCTGTTCTGGTATCCGCATTTTCCCATGAAATATCCACACACTGGCTTGAACTAGCTCAGCAGTAGAGATAAGTTCTATGCAGCCCTAGGCAGTTAAGCAGGGGGAGGGGGGTTAGTGTGAAGAGCAGACTTTTACAGACAACAGAAATCACCACAACACTCAGAGATTCTCTTACCTATTCCAGAGAAATACTGTCTGGTTGCACAGCAACTGTCTTGGCAGTGTGTGTACACCTCACTCTCTGGAAGGGCAATCATCAATGAACATTCATAAACTTCACAGAGAAACACAGTCCTATGTATTTGTTGTGTTCTGCTACTGGCAAGGTTTGTACAGAGCATAGGCAGATGATCTGATACATTACAGCATCCACCAGGACTTCAAGAAATGCTGATATTCTCGGTGCGGCTGTAAGATTTCCAAATCTTCATTTGTCTTTCCAACCCCTGCATTCTCTATAAAAAAAACCTCACCTGGTGCATTTTGAGATTGTAAGATTGAGCACCTTAAAATATTATAGCTAAGCTTTCCCCTGTATACAACCAAACAAATGTGAAAGGTCAAAGACATCTAATCAAAATAAAATGTATCTCTCTCTCCCTCCCTCCTCCCTCCACGGAGACANGTATTTGTCGCGCTGCTGATGACGTCAGGTACGCGCTTTAATTGGGCGCGCTTTGGTGGACCGCGGTTTTGTCGTGCCACGAAAGTTATTGCTTGGAGGTAGGCTATGATGGTGAACATTTAGTCCATGCAGTCTCCAAGCGCCAAGCCTAACCATGCCCCAGAACCAGGGGTGAACTCCAGCAGGTTCCGGCAAATGCCACCTCTGGCTGGCTCCAGAGTTGGGTGGGAATGGAGATTTTGCAGTAGTTCCCATGCCACGCCCACCAAGCCATACCACACCCACCAAGCCATACCACACTCACCAAGCCATACCACACCCACCAAGCCATACCACACCACAGAACCGGTAATAAAAATAAATACATTTCACCAATGCCCAGAACTAATTAACCCATTCTGTAGAGATTCTCCGTCATCCAGGTCATGGTCGTCCCAAAGGTACTTTTTCAGGAGGTGACTGGACTTCCCTGTTTTTTTTCCTTTTGAAGATGTTTCACTTCTCATCCAAGAAGCTTCTTCAGCTCTGAAAGAAAAAAACAAGAAAATACAATTGCTTCCTGGAAAAAAAAAAGCACCTGTGGGACAATTAACACATCGAACCTAGTTGTGGGAGAAATGGCCTCTTATGTTTAAAAGTTTTAAAAAATGATTCTGCTTTCCAAATGAAACACTGGCTGGAGTGTTGGGAACCCTGAGGTCCTACCTGTAATGTTCTTTTTTTTCTTTCCCTAGGCTGTCGCCGCTTCCCGTGCTTCTCCTGTTACTGAAACAGCCCCGCTCCTCCCTTCTGTGTCCTTCCAGTCTAGTGTGCAATCTTCCGAGGCTACCAAGAGGTAAGGATCTGGGGGCTGGTTAGGCCTACAAAGTGATTCAGAAGACGGTGTTACTTTCCTAACACAGTCTTTAAACTTAAAGTAAGTCCTTTACAGCAGGGGCCTCCAACCTTGGCCACTTTAAGCCTGGCAGACTTCAACTCCCAGAATTCCCCAGCCAGCTTTGTGGACACTGTAGGAGAGAGCCTCTGCTTTAGAGGAAGTCCTGAGTTCTAGTCTTGATAGGGGAGATAAGCAGTGGTGGGTTCCTCTCCCCGTCACTACCAGTACGCTGCGCACGGGGCTGGGCATCCTGGTCGTGCATGTGCGCTGCACCCGCATGCACACTGCACTGCTCCTGTGACACCCAGCTGTTTGTCAGAGGTTGTGCAGGCGCTGCATGCTGTGTGCATGTACGCAATTGGCCGGTTGCTTTAAAAACAATAGCAGCCCTCTCTAAGCGGTTTACAGAGTCAGCATATTGCCCCCAACAATTCGGGTCCTCATTTTACCCACCTTGGAAGGATGGAAGGCTGAGTCAACCCTGAGCCGGTGAGATTTGAACAGCCGAACTGCAGAACT